TGGGCCGGGGCGGAGCTGGCGGCGTTGCAGAGGAGGCGGCACGGCCGCAGCAGAGCCGGGGCTGAGGGGCACAGCGAGGCTCGGCCGGCGGAGCGGCGGCATGCGGCGGTGTCGGGGCGCGGGGCTGGCGACGCTGCCCGCGCTGCTGCTGCTCGGTGCGCGGGGAAGGAAGCAGTGCGGGTGGTCGGGGGGCTGGATGAAACTCCTGTCGCCCCAAGATTCATCTCTAACTCCTTTTCTCCGTCTCAGTTCTTGTTTGCTCTCTGTCTCCTACTCTGCCCTCATGGTGTTTTTTTTACCGCAGGCAAGTCCTCCCTGCGTGTTTTTTTTCTTTTTACCAGGTTTCTTCTTCCATCCATCCATCCATCCATCCATCCATCCATCCATCCATCCGTCCGTCCGTCCGTCCTTCCGTCCGTCCGTCCTTCCATCCATCCATCCGTCCGTCCATCAATCAATCCCTCCCTCCCTCCCTCCATACAGGAAAATCTATTTTGCTCATTCCTTTCTACTCTTAAAAATTGCAATTGTCCGTCTAAACACCCTTCATATTATCGTGTTCCCAGCCAAACACTCTCGGATAAATAATCTCTTCTTACTCTATTCTCGAGACATATCTCAGTTAATGCTGATCTGTCCTCTTTTCCAATCTCTCTCCGTTTTCTGGGAAAGAGAAGTGATTGTTCTTTTCCCTGTGGCAGTGGCTGTGTCCAGAGCCCAGATAGAGCAGGAGTCGTCGTTGGAGACCACCGAGGGCACCGGCATCAACATCACCTGCTCACATCCCAAAATCCAGACCGGCGACTCGATCCAGTGGTACCGACAGCTCCCGGGCCGAGCACCCGAACTCCTCGCACTCACTATGAAAGAGTCGAAAGAGCTGCCGGACAATCTGGGCCAGCTGTGGGTGTCGGCAGATCGGCGCTGGAGCGCGCTGCGGCTCGGCTGGCCCCGGCGCGGGGACGCGGCCGTGTATTACTGCGCGCTGGGCCACGGGCAGAGGAGCCGGGGCTGCGGCCGGGCACGAACCGGCGCGGGCGGGGCCGGGCGGGGCCAGCAGGGGGCGCTGCCGCTCCGGCCGCCGGGGCCGCCTCGCCCCGCTCGGCCCGGGATCCCGGGGCGCTGCCGCCGCCGGCACCGGCAATGGCACCGGCAATGGACCGGCACTGGCACTGACAGTGACAGCGAAAGCGGCAGATACAGCTTGTAGTCACCAACCTCCCTCAGTTCCTCTTCTCAGCACTGGCTTAATGAGCTGTTGCCCCAGCTGCTTGACCTCCCTAGGACAAATCCCATCCAATCCCAAGGACTTGTGAGCACCTAAATTCCTTAGCAAATATTTACTACTTTGTTTCTTACAGGGGTTCCATGGTGCTTGCCTTCTCTCCCTCCCAGATCAGGAGGCCGGCTGTCCTGATGCTCATCAATTCTGCTCCTGGAGACTGAGGCAAAGAAGGTGTTAAGCCCCTCAGCCGTTCCCTTGGATTTGCTGAATATATTCCCCACAGTGTCCAGTGAAGAACTGTGACTACGCTCGGTCCTTGTTAATATAGTCCTAAAACAGCTCTTTATTACCCTTACAGAATGGGCCAGATCAATTCCTAACTGAGCTTTGTCCTCTCTGCTTTTCTCTCTGCAAGACCTAATGACATCCTCCAACTCTACTTGAGCGTCCTGCCAATTTTCCAAAGGTGATACACCCTCTTTATTCCCTGAGATCCGGGGAATGCTCCCTTCTCAGCCAGGGAGGTCTTCTCTTCCACCTCCTCTTCTTTTGGAACAAAGGCCAGGCTGCTCCTGTGCCTTCAAGATTTCTTTCTTAAAGTATATCCAGTCTTCCAGGGCCCCTTTCTTTTCAAGGGCTGCTTCCCAGAGATGTTCCAAATCAGTGTCCTCTACAGGCCAAAGTCCACCCGCTGGAATCCCAGGGTAGAGTTTTTGTTGATATNTAGGAGCTTCCCAAATCTTCAGTGCAAGCCCCAACAGAACAGAAATGTATCACCATGATCACTGACTCCTCGAATACAATGTTTTCTTCAAAGCTCCCAATTCACCTCCCGCCTGTGCAGTCTTCAAACACCACCATTAGCCCATCTGGAGCCCTGCCCTTCTCCAGCATGCTCCAGCATCCCTGATGGGGCTGCCCCCGGGTGTCTCCAGTTGAGCGCACAGTTTGCTGTGTTTCTGCATGTGTTCCCTCACCTGGACTTCTCTGCATGCTAGATTTCTGCAGGTGGTTTTGGGTGCAGATTTGTGCACGAGTGACGTGAGTCTCATGAGCATGTGTGTGTTTGTGTGTCCCTCCTCACAAGGGAACTGCAGGGACTCTGCTGCTCTGCCCACAAGCTCCACAAAGCAGCCAGGACCAGAAGGAGATTCAGTACAGCTGAACAGATCAAACCTGGCAGAGATCTGCCCACAGCAGAGGCACTGAAAAGCAACCTGCTGAATCTTTAGCCATCTCTATCCTGCACCTGAAAAGCTCAATTTTCCTCCTGATTTCAGGCCCCAATGAGGATGTCTTCATAACAGTTTGGATTCTTATCTTAATTTGGAGTGGGACTATTTAGAGTGCAATCCCATAGCTGGAAGTCTTGTCTGTGTTCCTCACCAGCACAAGACACAGCTGCTAGAGTACTAAAGGATAGGGTTTGCCTAAAGGATAGGGTTTGCCTTATGAGTTTCTTCTTGGAGGCCAGGGAGGATTCCTGCCTCATTGTCACTATGGTATCCAGCAGAACCCCCCAGGCTGTTTTCTTCGAATCTGCTTAACAGCTGGGCAGTTCCCAGCATGTACTGGTACGTGGGGTTGTTCCTCCTCAGGTGCAGGACAATGCTCCTGTGTCCAAAGAAGGAAACATGAGTACCTTACTGCCCTCCCATAGGCACCAGCTCCTTCCCACTGTAGCTTTCAAAGTGCTGACATTGGCTGGGCAGTGTCACAAACATCTGCACCTTGCACTGAAATCACTGGTGCTGTGGGTCATCAGGCACCAGTGAGCCTGTGCACCTTCTGGGCATCACTGGGTTCTCAAAGAGAAGTGGCTGCTTTGGCCAGGGGATGTGCACCACCTGGGCAGATTTCAGCTGAGGGTCTTTGATTTACAGGGCCACCCTCACCTTGCAGCCTCGGCTGATAAAAAGTACATTGCTGCAGAATCAGATGCCCAGCAGTGAAGATCTCTCTCTCTATTTTAGTCAGAGTATGCACCAAAATGAGAAAGAGCAAAAGCTCAGGATTTGCCAGGAGGCTGGAGAGGGAAAGAGGTGATGCTCAGGAGCTAATCTTTGGCACTTCTCTGCTCACCAGATCCACACACCAGGGTTTGCCTCCTGTCTCTGTCCCCATCTCAGTCCCTTTCCTTTTCACTGTCTCTGTCCCCATCTCAGTCCCTTTCCTTTTCACTGTGCCAACAGTGGCTGGAAAGCTCCAAGTCCTGCCCCCACGCATTGCACAGGTATAGAACTGCACTGTGGATGGGACTGCAGATGCCTTCTCCTCACCAGGCCCTCAGTTTGCCCTCCTCCAGCCAGCACTAAGCCAACCCATTGGAACCAGGACTCCATCACCTTATTTTAGAAAATTATGTGTTCACCCATTAAAATACCCTTTCCCCACCACTCAGCTTCCTCCCTTGTCTCAGTTGTCATGTGTGGAGAAACACTGAACAACTGCTCTCAAAATATCAGAGGTGAAACGAAGAGAAACCCAAAACTCTTTGAAAAGAACATGACACCTGTGTTTCCCAGAGCCTTGAATGCTCTGATGCAGCTCTGAGGAGCTGTTGTGCTTTTAGAAGCCTGCCTACCATCAAGGAGCACACAAAAGCAGACACTCTGCAGCGAGGCAGAGAGGTTTGCTCACACAGTAAATGCTGTGAACCAAGAAGGAAACCCAAGGAAAAGCACAGGAAACACTGAGACTGTCCATTCTCTGCTGTGGAGACAAGAAAAGGCAAAAGGTGTATGGGCCTCTCTCCAGCCCTCCACGCTGCAGAGGTGTGACTGTGTCACACATGTGCTGCACTCTCTCTGCAGGGTGGTGCCTTTTCGTGGTGCTACCAAGAGTGTTCTGCTGGGTGCTGAGAGTCTTGAGAAGGAAAAGGATTCTTGAGCTGGGAAAAATGATCTTCACCATGGCTGTGCCAGCATGTGTCCTGCTAATCCAGTCAGGTGGGTGTATTCGTGTCCTTCCTGTTGTCTCTCATGAGTTTTAGTAAGTTATTTAGAGGTGTCTACCAACAAGAACATGAGGTCAGGGAGAAATATGGAAGGGGGATGGATGTAGATATCTTAACTTCCATTTCTTTGGAAAAACAGAAAAGATTGGGGCAGTTTTAACAGAGCAAGTGAGAGAAGGAAGCGAACTTCTCTGCAGACACATTTATGCCTGTGTTGCAGGTCTTGTTGGAGGTGATCCCCTGAAACAATTCTTCTCTGAGGTGCAAGTCAAAGTTGGACAGCAAGTGGTTCTTCCTTGTCAGTTCACCGCTAAGCAGAGTGTTACCAACCTGAACTTCTTCTGGTACCGCCAGTTCCTGGGACATACTCTGACATTTCTCCTGCAAGCACACAAAACCACAGGGAATGACAAGTACCGCAGCGGCCAATTCTCTATGGTGGTCTACAAAAATAACACAGCCCCCTTAGAAATAGCAAAAGTCTCTCTTCAGGACACTGCGATTTATTACTGCGGTGTGAGGCTCCACCTTAAGCTAAGCCAAATTTCCGTTCGTACAAAATCTGTGTCACCAACAGCACAGGAGGGGTGAGACTCTACATCCTCCAGCCTCACCTGTGTTTTCATGCCTGAAATAATCCTCTCCTTATATCAGCCTTTACAACTTTTCCCATCCCAACTCCTGCCTATTTTTCTCAAAGTCTCCATCTGTGCAGAGGTATTCAGAGCAGTGACTCAGGCAGGACCATGGGACTCTTTGCAGATGAGACGAAACATTATTTTTCTTACTTCCTCATACATCCCTCATGAAAACAATCACCATATCTGGATGTAACATCCAATTGCACTTCCAGGGAGCTGACACTGCAGGATCCAGTGCTGCTGGGGCATTCTGTCCAAAGCCTTGACCAAGCTGTGGGCAGAGCCAGGGGATCCACATCTGTGCTTTGCTCCTGGCAAGCCCTAGCCCTTGACACAAGAACCCAATGGATCACAGACCCCAACCTGGCCCCCCTTGCAAAACAACCAAAAAAAAAAAAAACAAGTTTTAACCTAAAGGCCCCAACAATGGGCAGAGTCACCTTCTCTGTGCTGCACATGGTTAAATGGTGAGATCCTCCCACACCCAACCAGCATCAAGTCTGCTACTTTGGAAAATACCAATGAAGAGAAAAGCTACTAAAACTATGAAATACCTAAGCAACCAACAGCACTGCAGTTCATGAGGCAAGAGGTTTGGTATATTTAATACAGTGCTTCGAGATCATCAGATAATGAAAATTGATGAAGACAAAAATGAAGATAATGATCATGACAGGAGTTTTTCTGGATTGGGCTCACTGTTTGGTAGAGTTGGAAACTCAAAGGAAAGTTGGTTTAGGCATCCGAGGGCCACAGCAGAACTCAGCTTGGCCTATTCTATGAGGAGAGCTCCTGGAGCCACGGTGGTCCTGTTACTCACAAGAGGTTTTCCCACCAGGAAACATCTGCAGTACACTGGGCATCACTATACTGCTGGGACACAAGGGATAGCTTTTTGTGTCCTGGATAGAACAACAGTAAAAGACACTGAGGGTGCCCTGGAAATTTGACTGGTTTCTCTTTATCAACCCTCAGCTTTTAGGTTCAGAAGTCAGATGAATGGCAAAGGCTGACTGCAGCATAGCATGGGGTGAAGGTGGGTCAGGCAGGAGCAACAAGGATACTGGCAGGAAAATGTGGGGCAAGTTGGGGTTTGTGAATTCACAGCAGTTCTAGTTTGCAGACTCTAATGTATCTGGGATTATTTCCCACTCTAGGAAGGATG